AAGATTGAGAAAAACATTACTTAGTCTTGAAATTTATGAATATTTGATTATATATTTATGTAGTTATATTGATGGGATTGTAGTTTGTGTAATTGTGTTAAATATGAAAATTTAAAATTTTATTTATATTGATGCAATGTATTTGCTTATTGTTTGTAATATGTTTTTATTATTTAATTTATGGACTAAATCATAGTAAGTTGTATACTGTATTGATGAGTAGTAGAAATAATTTTTTTTAAAAAAATGGGCTAGCCCGGCTCGGCCCATGGGCTAGCAAGGGCTAGGCTGGGCTGAACATTTTGTAGCCCATATAAAATATGGACTAGCCCAACCCGGCCCATATTTTTTCAGCCCACAAGAACTAGGGCCGGGCTGGATCGGGCCGGCACATATTGACAGGTCTACTGCTTACTAAGCAAGTAGTTGAAACTCTGGATTTACACTTTTGATTTGAATGATCCAATTGATGCCAACACCACTTGGTCTTAGGATGGATGGCAGCATGAGTAGAAACTACAAGATTAAGCTATATGACTCAGATTTTGTACCAACAAGGAAGAAAATATAATTCTACAGTTAAATAGGAGTAATTTTCCTCTTCAATCTGTCTTTCAAATGCTCAGTACTTTCGGTACATCTTTATTTGTTTGCTCTGATTTACATATTTTAGATAAAAACTCAGCATAATTTTGCATCAATGCTCATTTATAGTCTCTGAACATGTGTAGCAGTTTCCGAATAATCAAATCAATGCTTCACATTTATAAAATGTGGCCAACAGGATTGGGAAGCAGAAAGCAGGCACATTCCATATGACCATTTTGTCTGACCATCATTTTTATATTACACATTTTGCAACACTGTACACCAGTTTCACTGGGGATGGCTTGGACTTTTTGTTGCACTTACATCCTTAGACAGGCATGTGGTAACTGCTTTAGTGTTTCTTTTTTCCCTTTGTCAATTGCTTTGTGTGTTGTATCTCTAGTTGGGAGGAGGTCCGGGGTGGGGGTTTGGTCATAGTTAAGGGGACAGCAGAGAGGGAACCCAGAGCATGGAGAGGGAAAAAATAAAGAGAAAAGAAAAGAAAAGAGAAGGGGAGGGGAAAGAACGGTGGAAGCCGGCAGGACAAGAAGATACGTATCTAATAACCCATTTGGTCAATTGCTTTGACTCAATCCTAACACGTAAGCAAGAATCTATTACGTACTAAAAAAGGATGGCCCTTTGAGCGTCCTTTTTCTACCACGTCTTAAGTTAGAAATTTGACTCAATTTTTTGTAATTTTTTCTCTTTTTTGTTATTATTTTTTTAATATTTAATTTTTTTACTGATTATATTTATAATTTTATCTTTTTGATAAATTTTTTTATTATAATACAAAAAGTAACAAAAAAAAATATCTTAATAATGCATTATATAGACCTGTTAGTAATAGTATTATCTATACATAATAACATTATGAAAGATTAAATAAGTTCAAATTTGATAAACAAATTCATTTTGAATAAATTTAATACATCATCACATAATTTTGTGATTTTTAAAAATTTACCTGTACACGTTATAATATAATTTGTAAATGATATTTTGATAATTTTTTATTTTTAACAATTATTTTTATTAATATAAATTAATTTCATATTTTATTCATATATAAAAAAATTGCACCCAACACTTAACATGGATTACACTCTAGTGCAAGTAAACTATAGTACAAGTAAAGGTAACATAACATCTTTATTAGCTATTTTTCCTTTTACAAAACATTAGGAATGCAAAGTCTCATTTGTATTTAAAATTTGAAAGAAATTAAACATTAAGGCTCAAGTCTTAGCATAATTTCATGTCAGGTAATCTGTATCTTCATATGGAATATGGGTTTCAGATCAGGTTGTTTCGGGTTTCCATCCTTTCATTTTATGATGAAATTAGGTTTACATTGTCTGTAGTTTAGATCATTTCATATTTAAAATTGTTGGTCTCGTGTTAGTTACTTTGGCTTTTGTAAAGTCAGATTTCAGACATATCAAATTGGGTATTTCGAGTTTGCTTTGGATTCTGTCCAGTCAGATTTCAGACAGATCATTCCAGGTTGTTCTCCCTCTTGGCCTCCATATCTAATGAAAGCTCCTGTTGGTTTTCAGTCTCCTCCCGAGGGATAACATAGGTCTGGCCATGCCTATCTTCGATGCTCAAACTCCACTTGAACCCCAAATCCGTATCTGCTTTGCTAATTTATGACTTTATCTCAATGTTGGTGGTTTGTCACCTATCCAATGGAGATATTGCAGTCAATGGATACTCAAGGAACTAATCATTCCTTTGTCTTGAGTGATCAACTTTGCTCTTTCCATTAACCGATGACTACCACCAAGCCGATTCAATCTTGGCTCACAACTTGCACATTCTCCATGCAAAAGAAAAAGCCATTAGAAATCTTCCCCTTGTCATTTACTGTTTCAAGTGGCAAGATTTGCTGTTCAGCACTGTTCCCTGGTGGATCCAAATCTATTCGTTTGTCATTTTTCATTTGAATCTTCCAATCATGACTAACTTTATACTCATCTTTTTAAGGAAAAAGAAAATTTGTTACACCAAATTAATGAAATTAATGGAGACTTGAAAATTGAAGTTGCTAATTGATCCCATGCCCCACATAAAAAAAAATCTAGAGACTGAAGAGCGCCAAGGTATCAATACTAGTTTGAAAGAATTTAAGATAGTGGCTCTTATATCTCCTTTTAAGATGATTAGACCTGGAAGTCTTGAAGTTACAGCCTAGCTGGCTGCAATATATTGGTCTAGAGAGCTTTATCTTGAGTGACAGTTCAAATGCTGCATCATTTTCGACTATTTTCCAACTGAGCTGGTCTGCATGTGCCCTTTGGTCTTTTCATTTTAAGCGAGACTCTAATCCCAGTTCGTTGCTCAGATATGGTGGACTAGTGTGTGGGAGCCCACACAATAAGATCCATTGTTTTCTTTCAATAATTCATACAGAATGTTTGGGGGCGGTGGGGGTTGTCTGTGGATCTATGCAAGTTGTCAAAGGGAGTACTAGATTTTCAAAACATGAAAAAACGATGCCCTCCCCTTTATGCAAAGAAAATCAAAGCAAATACACCCATCAAATTAGCCCCAAACTTTGAACTTCCTCTCATCTTTTCTTTTAATGGTCTGTGACATGAGGGACCCCTTGATTTCCAAGGGCATGATCTCATGATTATTGGGGAGAAAAATTAGCCATCTAATCATATTATTCTTTGGATTTAAGTACTAACTCATACATATGTACAGGGTCCCTATCAAAGAAATGAAAGATCATGTGGCATGTGGAGTTGGCCAGAATGGGAACAGGAAAGTGAATGCAACATGAAATTTGGAAATGAAAAGGACTGGGGCAATGAACCTGGAAAACATGATAGCTACTTGTAGGATGATTGAAAGATAAGGGCAAGCTAATAAGAGAAACTGCTTGCATATTTCTGATGACGTATCAGAATTTTTAGGGAAAATTCTTGAATTCCTAAATGAGTTTCGGGTGCCCTGTATGCTTTAGCTAGCCTGCTCCAATAAGTGCTTTCCCAGGCAGGGTCAACATAGCTGTTCAAGAAGATTAATAGCTAATTGATTAAGGATGTCATAATTAAAGAAACATTTTAAGGCTCCTTTCACCAATCGTGCAGCTCTGCTGATAAGGCCTTAAAACAGTCCAATAATGAATAAAAGCATATTTTGAGCTACTTTTGTCTTCCACTCTTTCAAGTAATTAACGAATTGATCAAAGCTGTTAACAAGGTTGAAACTGATCATATGCTAAATTGCTTAAGGTTGCAGATCAATCTTTCTTATGCTCATCAGAATTGAGTACTTTCTGTATGGAATTTTCAACATGCTGATCAAGTTTGTGCCTGTAGAAAACGCTTGTCTTTGTGGAAGGTTGCATAGTTGGATTTGCAAATGGTTTGGCCAAATAATATTTGCTTTGACAACTGAAGGAATAGGAAAATGAGGAGAGGAAAGAAAAGAGAAAGCATATCTAATATCAATAAATTAATCTATAAAATCGATTAATTTAAGTGAACAAGACATATTTTTCCTATATCACACTTATATAACGAACACCATACATTTCCATGATTTAGGGAGGCAGACCCTTTCGGTGAACCTGCTCAAGACCCAATAATTTGGAGCAGGATCAATTATTTTCTAATGTACATATCATCATGATACATAATTATAAAATCCTTAACCTGCCTTGCCTCCGCCACTGATGACAAAGGGATTAGTAGTAATTCTTTTAGCACGTTATACACGTAAAGATGTGTATCCTTAGCCTTTCCTTGGGTACAAAGAACTATTGTAAGATGCTTGAGAAACCATTCTTGTGTTATCATGCTTCCTGTTAGACTTTGTATTAAATGAACTGTATCTTCCTTGCCTGTGTTTCCTTCTTGGCTGTGATGACCTTGGGATAAAAACTCCTGTGCCTTTGCTTTCTCTTCTGCAGATTTGGTCATGAAGGAATGGAGGTTGTGCTATTGGATAATTTGCTCCAGAGAAAGCTGAAAATTTTGACAACAAAATTTAGTCATATATCCATGAATCTTTGAAGTTAATACCAGAAGATGCAACAGAACATGTTGTTTGCTGTGAATGAAAAGCATGGAATTGGTAAAAACCTGGAAAGAAACTGAAGGACTAGCAACTGGGTCTTCATCATCATCCATGATTAGCAGAGAGATTTGCTTGCTTAAGTCAGCAAAAAACAGATCATCTTCAAGCTCAACAGCCACTTCCATGTCTTTTCAAACTAATAAAACACTTCCTCCTTGTTTAGACTATACTCAAGCTAGAACTTGGAGAGAGTTTGTGAGTGTGTGTTTTTGCACAGAAACCAGAAAGAAAATCTTTATAGTCTAAAGTTGAAACCTCCCTTCTTTCCCCTTCTCCTTTTCTCCCGAGCCATGGGAATGTATGGGGTTATTATAGAGAAAGCTAAATGGGGGGGGTGCGAGTTAAAGCATATAGTGAAGCGCATGTGGGTGGTGGGGTCCTAATGGCAGTTAGCCAATCTGGCTAAGTCCCACATCCCACAAGAATCATGAACTAGTCTTATGATGATTATCCAGTAGGAACAAGAGATGAGGAGTAGCAAGCAATAGCGCACACCCAGATATCTAATCCAATATAGCCCAAATCTCTCCTAGCCTTGGCTGTAATTCGGTGAGCCTCACTTCCTCATCACTTACATCTCTAAGGCAACAAGGATGGCTCAAAATTCATAGTCCCCCAATCCTCACACATATACAGGGGCAGCACTACTTGCAACCAAATTAAACCCCTCTCCTATTCTGTTATCTAGCTAGATACTTGTGTCATTTGTCAGGTTAAGCTAAAGGACAGTCAAAACTTAGTAACCAGAGGTTCTATCTTGTTGTAGGGCCATAGCTTTAATTACTCCAGAACTGAGACTTGGTTTTGCCCGGCGCCACAGAATTTGAAAGGTTATGTGTCATTGCCACTAGTTTCTTGTAATATATGTCAGTCTTAGTATTTAAGTCCTGACTAATTGTGTTGAGCCTTGAGATTGATTCATTGTCATCTTCATTTCAGAGTAACATAATTTATGAACATGGCAACACATGTCCCATTCTTTGAGCTAATGCTCCCACTTTGGAATTAAGCTGAGTGGAAGGATCACTATCAGATGATAAACAAAATAAGACAATAAATAGAAAGGAAAACCTGTAGAGTAAAGAATTAAAAAAAACCAAACACATTATCATTTTTTTTAATCTGTTTACTTTAGGTTTCCAACCATTTAACATATTAATAGAAACCTGAAAACCAGCTTGAGATAGAAGGGAGAAGGGAGAAGGGAGTAAAGCATCTATAGCCTACTTGGGGTTGTCATGTCCATATAAGCATTAAGTGATGAACACAGATTATATGACAAGCATTTGCAGCTAGCTCTTTAGATTTTCATAGTCCAGCTGCATATCCTCTTTCAGTCTTAACAAGGAAAGCAAGTACTACTTGAATTATGAGTGTGGATTTGGTCCACACGGTTTGCTGGCTGGCTAAGGGACCCGCCCCCATTTGCAGAGTACTCCAGTCCCTGGAGCTGTACAATAAAACAATGCTGTTAATTAGTTTTTGTTTATGGCATTAAATGTACTGGTCAGCATGTCGGAATGGCTTGCTGTTGGCTGGCGAGGCCTCTTTCATGTGACCTTCTTTTTTTTTTTTTTCTATTTTCCGTACCAGCGGCGGACATTTGTGGTAGGGTTTTCTGCTCCAAAAGGATTAGGTTTGGTTGATGAAGGGATCTAGCAATGAATTACTATATCGGAAAACTCAATCTTACATGCAAAGGTTTTACTTCGGTTCTAAGCAATCAGACCCAAAATTTGAGTTCTTCCCAACTTTTTCTATTTTTTTTTATTTCCTTCCAATTTTAATTAAGGTATCGGACTTTCTTTTCTTTGCTGTGCTTTTCCCTGTCTCACTTGATTTTGTTAGCATTGCCTTATCAGGGTTGATCACGCCATGTGGTAGTGGGTTCCATTGTCACAAACCAGAGCCAAATGTTAGAAAGCAAGGGCAGTTTGCAGAAGCATAGCAATAATCCCATCTCAATTTGAGCCCATCCATCCTGCAATCCTGGATTGCCCTTAGAACTACCATCTGTAGTTGGCTTGATAAACAAGGGGAAAGTCCAGTTAACCAGAATTGTCCTTAAATATCAACAATCACATGGTTCTTGGTAGAGTATAAATTGAGCGGGTACTGCTAACTCGTTCCCTAAGAGTCAATTGATACCACATCTTGCCTCAAAGGCAAGATTTTTGCAACATACATATTTACTCTGAAGAATGGGAGTTCGGGATCAAACTTTTTTAACTTTTTGTGTAAAAAAGATTTATACATTTATCATTACATCAAATATTCGTATAGACGACTACAATAAACTCAAATGTAGTTATTGTTAATTAAATCCTTATGGTAAATATTAAGGTCTTAATTGATGTGCTGTTAGAAGGATTCTAAAATCCATGTCCAAACTTCTGTACAAAATCGGTTCATCACTCTAATTTTAAAGAATTTAATCTGTCCAAATTATTATTATTAAAATCTTACCTTTGAAAGTGGATAATGTGGCACTTAGCTAATCATCTGGTATGTTGAGATGATGTTTTTTTACTACTTGACACATATCAATCTAAAAAATTATAATTAAATTTAATTAAATAATTAATACTTTTAATTCTTAAAAACACTATTAGTACTTTTTTATTAAAAATAAAGTCGTTCTATACAAAATTATACCGCATGGTAAAAAATATTCAAATGGCATATTACGTCACCAATGAAAAAGCTAATTACGTGAATTTAAGTGCAGAATTTCAATGCCGTTATCAATTATCTTTAAAATTAACTTATAACAAAATTGTAGGGATTAAATTCTTTAAAGTTAGAGTTAATTAACTAAAAATTACCAAATTAAAATCATATAAAGGAAAATTTTCAGAATTGGACATAAATAAATAAAGGCATAATATCCAAAAAAGCTCCTAACTATTCAAGAAAATTCAAATAAATTCTTATACTTTTATTGCATTTAATCAAGTTTTTATATTTTTATTTTAAGCTAAACTAGTCATTGTACCTTTATTTTGTGTCAAATAAATCTTTATGAGTAATAATTGACTTAATCAAAATGTCATTTATCATTTTATGTCGTATAACGTTAATGATATACTAACATATTATAATAAATGATAATGTAACATACTGACATATTATAAGTGATAATAATATAAAATACTAATTTGATATGATAACTTGACCATATGACATTTTTTATCTTTCACATCAATACCATGTTAGTGCCATATAAATATAAAATGACATATGATATTTTAACTAATAATAATTAGTTAATCATTAGATATAAGAGTTTAGTTGACTAAAATTAAAAATATAAATACTTAATTAAATATAATAAAAGAATAAAAAAAATTTCTTTTAAAAAAATACTATAAATAAAAGATCAATGAAATTTATAATCTAACTCTTGACACAATTTTTGGTCTAATATTACATTTTTGTAAACATGATTGCTTGTTTTGTATCAAAATTTTTACTAGTACATAAGAGTAATTAGGCCAGGTGCTCGAGCCCAATTCGCTAATAACGGGCTGCCTACAATTAGCCCAACCCAAAACAACACGTCCAATATCACTATTTATTAGAAAGATCCGGCTACTTTCCGTTGGCATTTTAACTGGAGAGTCCAGTTAGCGGTGGATGGTACACCATCTCGCTAAAATTGAAATGGATGATTCTAAATACACCACGTCATCGGAAAAAAAAATTAAAAGAATGTTAACTACGTTAAAAATTTGGACAAAATACTTTAATTTTTTTAAGTTTTAATTAAAATTTTAAATTAATTTATTAATTTTTAAAATAAATATTTCACCACAAAAATATCAACACTGTTAATAAAGATTTTAAAAAAATTAAAATATTTTTTATTAATTTAAAAATTATTATTATATTTTTAAAGAATTAAAAAAAAAAGAAGCACCATCGGGTTCTCCACTGGTGCTCCCCATCTTGAGAGATTTTTTTTAATTAATAAAACATACAAAAATTTTATAATCATAATTTTAAAAATTAATTAAAGTAAAATTAATTTTTTATTTTTATTATATTAATTTATTAAATAAAATATTAACGATTGATCAACGTGTTGAATGAAAAATATTTTTTAAAAATAAAATATTTATTTTAAAAATTAATAAATATTTTTGTAAATTAATCAAAACTTAAAAAGGTAAATATTTACTTTAAAATTTTCATTGTTCTTTGATGTGGCATATCAAAGAGCCACAGATTTCAAGTTTAATGAGGTGGCTTCTTATATAACCGTAGATATCTCCTGTTGAAAAGTCAAAGTGGAGAGGGGCCGGATCCTTATTGGATCCAGTCCACAGCCCAGTTGCATCACACCAAATCTAAGCCCTATTGTACAACTATCTTAGTTTTCTCTGGTATCTTCTTATTTCTCTTTTCTTCTTCCTACCTTTTAAGTAGAAAAAACGAACCGTCGCAGTACAGTAGCCGCCGTCCGAACACCGTGATCTGAATTACTCTTTCTCTTCTGTGACAATGGCGACTGTCATGCAAAAAATCAAAGACATCGAAGATGAGGTTAGCTTTTTCCTTTTTTCTTTTTGCTTTTAGTTCGTAGAATAATCTCTCAGTTCCGTTCGGCTGCTCATAATAGCTCATAATCCAAAATTAAATTTTTTATATTTATTTTACTTGTCTAGTACTTAGCCTAGTAATTGCTCAATTATTGAATATCTTTCCGTGTAATGTAAAGTTGAATATATTTTTCAATTTTCCAATGAAAATTGAAGATAGCTTCCTATTTTTCTTATTATTTTTAAAAATTGGGCTTTGAGTTATTTAAAAATATTAAGCTTTGAATTATTTTTTAAGGACCAAAATTTGAATATTCGTTATATAGTGTTTCGGGCTAACATGTAGGAGAAAAAAATGAATAATGCTTAGAATTTTTAGCTTTTATCTGTTTGTTCATTTTGAAATATTGTTGAATGGAAATGAATTGATGAATAAAGGTGTGTTCTTGAGAATTGTGTTTGTATTTTCTAAAATTTCAAAGCTTTGTTGGCTAAATGCAAAACGTGTCCATGAAACTTGAGCAACTGCTAAAGTCTTGGCTTTCTGTATTTAAATGTTGTCCTTTTGTTTATTACAGATGGCAAGGACTCAAAAGAACAAAGCAACAGCTCATCATCTTGGTTTGCTGAAGGTGAACATCGCTTTGATCTTCTTTTATTGACTGATTTTGTTTTGGTTCATTCGTGGAATTATATGTTTATTGTGTTAAAAATGCTGTGTTTGATTTTTTTTTTTTTTTTGGTATTCATGTTCGTTGATGAAAA